AGGGGGAGGGAAGTTAAGGGAAGGAGGTGAGGGGAGGGAAGTGAGAGGAGGGAAGTGAGGGGAAGGACGTGAAGGGAGGGAAGTGAGATGAGGGAAGTGAGGGGAAGGAGGTGAGGGGGAGGGAAGTTAAGGGAAGGAGGTGAGGGGAAGGGAAGTGAGGGGAGGAACGTGAGGAGGAAAAAGTGACGGAAGTGGCGATGATGATAAAAGTATTCCTTATGATATTTATCATTGTTATCATCATCATCATCATCATCATTAAAATTGTGTATTATTATTATTATTATTATTATTATTATTGTTGTTGTTGTTGTTGTTGTTATTATTATTATTATCATTATTATTATTATTATTATCATTATTATTATTATTATTATTATTATTATTATTATTATTATTATCATTATCATTATTATTATTATTATTACTATTATTATTATTATTATTATTATCATTATTCTTATTATTCTTATTATTATTCTTATTCTTCTTCTTATTATTATTATCATCATCATCATTATTATTATTATTATCATTATCATTATTATTATTATTATTATTACTATTATCATCATTATCATTTCCGATATTATCATTGATGTTATTGTTATTATCATCATTACTATCATTGCTATCATTATCACTATCACTATTATCATTGTTAATATTATTATCATCATTATTATTATCATTATTAATATTTTTAAATAATTATTATTATCATTATTATCATTATCATTACTATTATCATTATTATCATTAATACTATTATTTGTAAGACTATTACTATCAATATAATCATTATCATTATCATTAACATTATCATTATTAACATCACTATTATCATTATTATTACTATTATTATCATCGTCAGTATCATTACTATTAGCATCATTATCATCCTTACTATTTTCATCATTATCATTACTACTGCCATTATCATCATCATCATCATTACGATTAATATCATCATCATTACCATTACTGCTATTATCATTATCATCATCATTATCATTACTATTGCCATTATCATCATTATCACCATTACGATATCATCATTACCATTACTACTATCATCATTATCATCATCATTATCATTACTATTGCCATTATCATCATCATCATCATTACGATATCATCATTACCATTACTACTATTATCATTATCATTACTATTGCCATTATCATCATCATCATCATCATTACGATATCATCATTACCATTGTTATCACTATTCTCATCATTATCATTACTACTGCCATTATCATCATCATCATCATCATCATCATCATTACGATATCATCATTACCATTACTACTATTATCATTATTATTATTATTATTGTTGTTGTTGTTGTTGTTGTTGTTGTTGTTGTTGTTGTTGTTGTTGTTGTTGTTGTTGTTGTTGTTGTTGTTGTTGTTGTTGTTGTTGTTGTTGTTGTTGTTGTTGTTGTTGTTGTTGTTGTTGTTGTTGTTGTTGTTGTTGTTGTTGTTGTTGTTGTTGTTGTTGTTGTTGTTGTTGTTGTTGTTGTTGTTGTTGTTGTTGTTGTTGTTGTTGTTGTTGTTGTTGTTGTTGTTGTTGTTGTTGTTGTTGTTGTTGTTGTTGTTGTTGTTGTTGTTGTTGTTGTTGTTGTTGTTGTTGTTGTTGTTGTTGTTGTTGTTGTTGTTGTTGTTGTTGTTGTAGTTGTTGTTGTTGTTGTTGTTGTTGTTGTTGTTGTTGTTGTTGTTGTTGTTGTTGTTGTTGTTGTTGTTGTTGTTGTTGTTGTTGTTGTTGTTGTTGTTATTATTATTATTATCATTATTGTTATGAGTATCATTATAATTATTGTTATCCTTATCATAACAATACTTATCATTATTATTATCATTATTGTTATGAGTATCATTATCATTATTATTATTATCATTATTGTTATGAGTATCATTATAATTATTGTTATCCTTATCATAACAATACTTATCATTATTATTATCATTATTGTTATGAGTATCATTATCATTATTATTATCATTATTGTTATGAGTATCATTATCATTATTATTATTATCATTATTGTTATGAGTATCATTATCATTATTATTATCATTATTGTTATGAGTATCATTATCATTATTATTATTATTATCATCATTATTATTATTATATTATCATTATTATCATTATTGTTATGAGTATCATTATCATTATTATTATTATTATATTATTATTATTATCATTATCATTACTATTATCATTATCATTATCATTACTATTATCATTATCATTAGCATGATTATTATTCTAATCATTATGATTCTCATCATTATCATATTCATTATCATTACCGTAATCATTGTCGTTATCGTTATCATTATCAGTATTATCATCAGTCGTTATTATAATCATTATTATCATTATTGTTATGAGTATCATTATCATTATTATTATCATTATCATAATAATATCTATTATTATTATTATTATTATTATTATTATTATTATTGTTGTTATGAGTATCATTA